GGGCACAACACTACCGTCAACACAGGCGCCTGTGTGGGCACAACACTACCGTCAACACAGGCGCCTGTGTGGGCACAACGCTACCGTCAACACAGGCGCCTGTGTGGACACAACGCTACCGTCAACACAGGCGCCTGTGTGGACACAACGCTACCATTAACACAGGCGCCTGTGTGGGCACAACGCTACCGTCAACACAGGCGCCTGTGTGGACACAACGCTACCATTAACACAGGCGCCTGTGTGGACACAACGCTACCGTCAACACAGGCGCCTGTGTGGACACAACGCTACCATTAACACAGGCGCCTGTGTGGGCACAACGCTACCGTCAACACAGGCGCCTGTGTGGACACAACGCTACCGTCTACACAGGCGCCTGTGTGGACACAACGCTACCGTCTACACAGGCGCCTGTGTGGACACAACACTACCGTCAACACAGGCGCCTGTGTGGAAACAATGCTACCGTCAACACAGGCGCCTGTGTGGAAACAATGCTACCGTCAACACAGGCGCCTGTGTGGGCACAACGCTACCGTCAACACAGGCGCCTGTGTGGGCACAACGCTACCGTCAACACAGGCGCCTGTGTGAACACAACGCTACCGTCAACACAGGCGCCTGTGTGAACACAACGCTACAATTAACACAGGCGCCTGTGTGGACACAACACTACCATTTACACAGGCGCCTGTGTGGGCACAACACTACCATTAACACAGGCGCCTGTGTGGGCACAACACTATCATTAACACAGGCGTCTGTGTGGGCACAAGACTACCATTAACACAGGCGCCTGTGTGGGCACAAAGCTACCATTAATACAGGCGCCTGTGTGGACACAACACTACCATTTACACAGGCGCCTGTGTGGACACAACACTACCATTAACACAGGCGCCTGTGTGGACACAATGCTTTACACAGGCGCCTGTGTGGGCACAACACTATCATTAACACAGGCGCCTGTGTGGAAACAACACTACCATTTACACAGGCGCCTGTGTGGGCACAACACTATCATTAACACAGGCGCCTGTGTGGAAACAATGCTACCGTAAACATCGAGAAGTGAGATTAGCTCAAGATTAAGCTTGTCAATGAGATTAGCACTGAACGCTGTATTCAATTAAGGTTAGGTTGAAAATAAGAAAAAACAGAATTACGCACTACGTATAAATGGTACCTTTGGCCGTCATGCGTAGAGCAAACAAAAGCAATAGGCAGGAATTAGTGAGAAAAAAAGAACAATTAAAATAATAAAACTAGACGAAATAAAATATTGCAGAGATATTATAGTAATAGAAGATAAAATAATAGAGTGAGGTGAAGTTGCGACAAACTACGTAACTTGAAGTTAAGTGCGCTGCAAATGATGACACAGTGCACGTAATTTGACGCATACTGAACGTAAGATATACGGCATTGAAAAAAACATGCAAAAACTTCAGTAAATTTCTCAGTCAAAGTAGATATTTCATAACATTTCACGACACAATCAACACTGAAAACAAACAAGGTAAAGGAAAAACTCATATTTTTTTAACGGGAATTCGACTTACCGCAACTCAGTCAACATGGAAGCTAGAGAGACATAGAACATAGCGCGTATAATTGATAATTTGTACAATCATCTTCATTACAATGATACAGCAACAAGCATGAACAGAGTACACTTTATACCATAGTATTAGAGAGAATTTAAAGAAAATAATTATTTAATGGATAACAAATAAAAAGAATGAAACAGATAACCTGGCATAGCCACACCACAAACACTTTCCTTCAATGCAAGGTTTCAGTTGCATGTTTCACAAACTTAATATTTGAGACAAACTTAATTTGAGACAAACTTGATTTGAGACAAACTTGATTTGAGACAAACTTAATTNGTGTGTTGTGTGCTTTTCGCTTTAATCATAAATCTGCCCGACACACGTTTTTTTGGGGCGAGCCACAATTTATTTTCTACTTTTTAGTCCACAAGAAAAACGTGGTTTTTTAAAAAGTTTTTTTTTAAGTATTTTATTATAATCAGGAACAATTTCACGGATGACGACGACCTTAAATGACCCTCACTAAATCTGACCCAACAGAAGACAGACGGCCAAGATATCCCAGGGCCCTCATTCATCCCCCAGGTCCCTCATTCATCCCTAATTCATCCCTCAGGGCCCTCATTCATCCCAAATTCATCCCCCCAGGGCCCTCATTCATCCCTCAGGACCCTCATTCATCCTTCAGGACCCTAATTCATCCTTCAGGACCCTCATTCATCCCTCATTAAACTCCAGGTTCGTCAGTCATCCGTCGTTGATCTCTCAATAAAGATTATAATGTGGTAAAGCTATGGACATTTGACAGAAATATACAAATACTATGCAGATAAACCCTAATCATTATGATTGTAAACGCGCTCTGACCGTGCATGATACGTTCAGAAATAATACATAATTTATTCAGGAGAAACTGTTCTTTCCTTGAGGCTTTTACACATGTTCTTTCAGTGCAAATTGAACTAAATCACTTCAAAGAATGAGCTTCATTTAAATCCTCGTAAGTAAACTATTACGCATTTATATATTATTATATGGCTTTCGGAACACAAACAATGACTTGAACAAATTTAATGTCATAATGCCACAACATTTCTACACACTTAAAGCCAAGCGACGATCATTAATAATTTTATATTATATATTTATATCAAATGTTGCGAAAATAATTTTATATTATCTATTGTATCAAATGTTGCGAAAATAATTTTATATTATATATTATATCAAAAGTTGCGAAAATAATTTTATTTTATATATTATATCAAATGTTGCGAAAATAATTTTATATTAAATATTATATCAAATGTTGCGAAAATAATTTTATATTATATATTATATCAAATGTTGCGAAAATAATTTTATATTATATATTATATTAAATGTTGCGAAAATAATTTTATATTATATTTTATATTAAATGTTGCGAAAATAATTTTATATTAAATATTATATCAAATGTTGCGAAAATAATTTTATATTATATATTATATCAAATGTTGCGAAAATAATTTTATATTATATATTATATCAAATGTTGCGAAAATAATTTTATATTATATTTTATATTAAATGTTGCGAAAATAATTTTATATTATATTTTATATCAAATTTTGAGACAAGACAAACCTGGAGAGAGAGGTGATGACCACGCCGTTCTTGATGCCCGTGTGTCTGAACCCGCTCGAGACCTGCGACATGAACATGTTACATGTTTCTTGATGATAATAAGCATGTTCTTAAGTGAATAAAGACGTATTTAATTCCCTGGCCCGAAATAGGTAGCGTGAACAAGCTGTTGATGATGGGAGCCGACATGTTCACTGCTACGACGAACATGTTCACTGCTAAGACAAACATGTTCACTGCTATACGACGAACATGTTCACTGCTATACGACGAACATGTTCACTGCTGCGATGAACATGTTCACTGCTATACGACGAACATGTTCACTGCTATACGACGAACATGTTCACTGCCACGACGAACATGTTCACTGCTGCGATGANGAGACAGCATGTTCACTGCCACGACGAACATGTTCACTACAGCGACGAACATATTCACTGCCACGACGAACATGTTCACTGCCACTATGAACATGTTCACTGCCACTATGAACATGTTCACTGCCACGACGAACATGTTCACAGCTACGACGAACATGTTCACTGCTACGACGAACATGTCTAAGACTATAGTCCCAAATATCAATGTTTAGTTTCAAAAACTCTTTGAAAATAAAATAAATAAAATGCGAGCGTTCCGTTTTCAGGGTACACGCAGTTTAGTTCTTTAGAATTTTTATATATTATAATTTTATACACATTTTATATATTATAAAATGTTGCGGAAGTGGTGAAGAACAATAGAATTAATGAGTATTTGTATGACCGGAATTATCCATTGTGATTTAGAAGAACAATTTTAAATTCATTCTAATAACGTACTCTCAAATAACAGGTAGCTCTCGTTTTGGATAATACCTCATTAATATAAAGTAATTAAATTACTAGTTAGTAACAGTTAGCAATTAGATAGATAATCAAATGGTTTAAAGTTATTCAATAAAGTGATTTATTGAATACTCATTATTATAAAATAATAAGTAATTGGTTGTTTGTTTAGTGGCCTTAGTCGCTGACGCTTCAGATCGAAGAAAGTAATCAGGAAACTAATTAGTAATTATTAGTGATTATATAGATAATCAAATAGTTTAAAATAATTTTAATAAATTCTATTAATTAATTGAAAGTAATTGAAGATGATGGGGCACCTGGAAGTCCTGGTCCATGAGCAGGACGCTCCTGACGGCGCCGGAGGAGGGCGTGAGGAAGAAGAGGCACGTCTCCTTCAGGACCAGCCAGCGCTCCTTGTACTGTCCGTAGCAGCCATCACACAGCCCGCACCTGTCACCACACACTCATCACTACACACTCATCAGTACACACCACACACTCATCACTACACACTCATCACTACACACCACACTCTCATCACTACACACCACACTCTCATCACTACACACCACACACTCATCACTACACACTCATCACTACACACCACACACTCATCACTACACACCACACTCTCATCACTACACACCACACACTCATCACTACACACTCATCACTACACACCACACTCTCATCACTACACACCACACACTCATCACTACACAC